ACCCAGTTCCCACCCCACCCTCCGCCCTCACTCTCCACCCACTGTCCTCATCCATAGGTGCACGATTTTTGTTCAGTCTCTTCCCGCATCCCCCACACCCCTCCTCCCCCCCCCCAAGAATAGGCTGCCCACGGCTGAAGGTATCCATTACGCTCTCCTTCCCCTTGCAAGTATGGACAAAAGGCAGCTAAACCCTGTAATCTGTAAAAGCCACATAAATTGTGTCAACACCTATGGCAGCTACACCTGCACCTGCCAGGCAGGATTTGAGCTCAACCCGCAGGACCCGAAGATGTGCAAAGGTAGAGGCCCGGGAGGATGCTGTGAGGATGGACTGGATGAAGCTGGGAAATGAGCCGAAACAGGTCCTGTAGCCCCAGGAGGCAGAAGATTCCCATGTTTCAAAAATGCCAAGGAACTGACAAGGCTCTGACTAAGGATTCACCTCCCTGAAAAGTCCTGCCACAGAGCAGGGCGGTGCAGGGCCCTCTGGGCCTGAGGTTTCCTTCTGGAACCCCTGTGAGCACCCCCAGACCCTTCCCTTTCCTCATCTTTCCTTGGGGTGATGAAGGTGCCCCTTCTGATCCCCCTGAAGGCACCTTCTATACTGGCAGAAAGTGATAACAATTCCCATGTGAGTTAGGCCAGAGCTGTGACTTCTGGTTCCCAGAAGGAGACCTGGTCCAGCAGTCAGGAAGAAGTAGGCAGGAGTTCTTGTTCAGGAACTTCAACCCTCATGACTCAGTTTCCCTCCTGGATTTGCCACCTATAAACTGGAGACTATGGTCCCTGTCATGTCCGTCTTGTAGGGAGGCCACCGTAATGTGCTTTGAGGGTGAAGTTGAAGGTCACCAGGTGGTGGCATGTGTACTGACCGTGGGATCCTCAGGCAATGAGAAGTGGGTGCAGGGAGGGCCTGACGCTCTGGCTTTGTCCTCAGATGTGAATGAATGTACCTAGGGGCAAAAACCTCTGCCACAGGCCTGCTGGTGTGGCTCAGTAGTTGAATGTAGAGCCATGAACCAAGAGGTCAGTGGTTTGATTCCTGGTCAGGGCTCATGACCGGATTGTGGGCTCCATCCCAATAGGGGGTGTGCAGGAGGTTACCAATCAATGTTTCTATTTCTCTATCTCTCTCCCTTCCTCTCTCCCTAAAACCAATAAGAACATATTTTTAAAACACACACACAAAAAGAACCATGACACAAAACAACCCACTGCCAAAACATTGTGGGTAGCTATGAGTGCCACTGCCATCCTGGCTGGAATCCGATTCCTGGGTCCCCCAATGGCCCACACAACACCCTCTGTGAAGGTTCGGAGTTTAGATCCCATAAAAGAACCACATCATTTTTCCTTTGCTGAGCCATCTGAAAGGAAGCTGCCATAAGGAGCTTTGGCAGAGAAGGGGGCAGCACTTTCAGCAATGGTGTGTGCCCAGTGCAGGCAGTGAGGAGAGGGCACCTGGGCCCGGCAGGGCTGAGCATCAGATTCTGTTCTAATAATGGCATGAGCGCAGCTCTGTGCACGGCAGTGCCACAGCCCACAGACTCAGTGCATGGGAGCTATCAGACTGGCAGCCTCCCTGGTTATAAGTCCATCACCGGTCCTCCCCCAGTCCATCCTGCCCCCCCACAGGTGGCACAGCTTTGGGATGACACTGGCATTCACACAGTCCTGTCCTGTCCACCTTGCAGGAGCGCTCTGAGCTTATGGTGCTTCTTTAGTGGAAAATGTCACCACAACTTTGTGTACTGTCGGACTACATGGCTGTTAA